CTTTGTTTTTAAGTTGTGACCATCTCTGTACCTACCAGTGCTTTGTCTGATATCAAGATAGTTACCTAGTTTCCTTTGGGATGATTTCTGCTTGATATTCTTTCCAAAAATTTTACTGTCAAACTTAATGGGTTGTTTTGTATTAGGCATATCTTCTGTAAATGGCACATGTTGGATATTGTTTCCTATTCAATATGACAACCTATCTTCTTACTGGCAAAATTAGTTTATTTGATTATTGATATATCTGGAACTTATTTATATCATCTTGATTTTTTGTTTTCTATTTTTCCCTAGTTTAACTTTCACTTATTTTTTTCTTTTCTTGCAATCTAATTTTTCTTTTAAATAATTTAGGTGTTTTGTTTGGTTGTTTGGTTTTTCTTATTCCATACCATCCCACCTCCTTTTTCAGTTCTATTAGAGCTTAATCTTGAAATGTTAGCGTGTATAGGCAAAAGTGAAAGTGCTAGTCGCTCAGTCGTGTCCAACTCTGCAACCCTACAGACTGCAGTCTGCCAGGCTCCTCTGTCCATGGGATTCTCCAGGCAGGAATGCTGGAGGGGGCTGCCATTTCCTCTTCCAGGTAGTCTTCCTGACCCAGGGATCGAGCCAGGGTCTCCTGCATTGCAGTCAGATTCTTTACCATCTGAGCCGTCAGGGAAGCCCATGCATACAGTTCTAACTTCTCTCATACCCCACTTCAACAAAGCAATAATTTCAGAGTACTTTAAGTCTCATCATTTCCCTCCTGATTACACACTGTTATTTTCTGATAATTTAGGTATAATGTTTTTAAACTGACATGCCATAGTATTATTATTACTACTATTATTGCTATCATTTAGAAACTCTATTTAGAGTTCTGACACATTTCGAACTTGTTTGTTCAACATTCCTTCTTGAATGTGGAACCATTTTCCAACAGATTCCAAAACATACTCTTTGGAAGCTGCTTTGCATATGTATGTTGATGGTAAACCCTCTTTGTTTTTACTCATCTAGATATTCCTCTCTCATGCTTGAAAGATTGTTTTCATAGGTATACAATGTGTTGTTATTGTCTCTCAGCACATTGAAGGTATTCTTTTCACTCTTTTCGGACACCCATTGCTGTTGGAACTCGCATCACACATGGAACTGCTGTGTAGAGAATCTGTCTTTTTACTGTGGCTATTTTTAAAACCACTTTTCTTTACCTTGGTGAAATTTCACTCTTGTAAGTCTAAATGTGGCTTTCTCTTTATTTAAACTGCTTTGCAAACACAATCCTTTCTCTTTAAACTGCTTAGAAAACACATGGATACCTTTTAATAGTTGAAAAATACCCACTCACCATCCCATCCAGTGATGCCTCACTTCCAAATTTTCTCTTTATTTCATTCCTATAATCTAATTAGACACATCCCAATATCTTATCTTCCCTCTGTTTTTCTATCTTTTTTCCCCAGTGTGTTGTGTTGGGTAATTTCCTCAGATATTTTTTCCTGTTCACTAAATCTGTCTTCAGCTGGCACTAATCTATTGCTTAACATATTCATTTAATTTATAATTTCAATAATCACATTTTTCACTTCTAAAAGTTCTAGTTGATCTGAACAGGCCTATTCAGATTTGGTAATCTCTTGTTCTTCTAACCTACTTTCAACATTCTTTTTTTATTTCTTATATAATACAAGGGAAAGCAAGGGAATTCCGGAAAAAACATCTACTTCTGCTTCACTGACTACACTAAAGCCTTTGACTGTGTGGATCACAACAAACTGTGAAAAATTCTTAAAGAGATAGGAATACCAAACCACCTTACTGGCCTCCTGAGAAACCTGTATGCAGTTCAAGAAGCAACAGCTAGAACTGGACATGGGACAACAAAATGGTTCAAAATTGGGAAAGGAGTATGGCAAGGCTATGTATAGTCACCCTGCTTATTTAACTCATCTGCAGGATACATCATGCAAACGCTGGGCTGGATGAATCACAAGCTGGAGTCAATTACTGGGAGAAATATTAATAACCTCAGATATGCAGAGGACACCACTTTTATGGCAGAAAGTGAAGAGGAACTAAAGAGCCTCTTGATGAAAGTGAAAGAAGAGAGTGAAAAAGTTGCCTTAAAGCTCAACATTCAGAAAACTAAGATTATGGCATCCAGTCCAATCTTCATGGCAAATAGATGGGGAAACAATGGAAACACTGACAGACTTTATTATCTTGTGCTCCAAAGTCACTGCAGATGGTGACTGCAGCCGTGAAATTAAAAGACGCTTACTCCTTGGAAGAAAAGCAATGACAAACCTAGACAGCATGTTAAAAAGCAGAGACAACAATGTCCACAAAGGTCCGTCTAGTCAAAGCTACGGTTTTTCCAATATTTCATGTATGGATGTGAGAGTTGGGCCATAAAGAAGGCTGAGTGCTGAAGAGTTGATGCTTTCAAACTGCAGTGCTGGAGAAGACTCTTGAGAGTCCAAGGGATCTCCAGCAAGGAGACCAAACCTGTCAATCCTAAAGGAAATCAGTCCTGAATATTCATTGGAAGGACTGATGCTGAAGCTAAAGCTCTGATACTTTGGCCACCTGATGCAAAGAGCCGACTCATTGGAAAAGACTCTGACGCTGGGAAAGATTGAAGGCAAGAAAGAAGGGGCAACAGAGGATGAGGTGGTTGGATGGCATCATCGACTCAATGGATATGAGTCTGAGCAAACTCTGGGAGATGGTGAAAGACAACTACTATTCCATGCAACTCATGAGAGAATTCCCTTGTTTGAACAAATAATTATACAGTTACCTACCTTGATACCAGGCTCCCAGCCACCAAGAATAAGCAAACACCCAGCAAGTATCACATGCAGCTGCTTTTTATCAGTCTGGAGTCACATGTTATCATTGTTTTCTGGACACTGCTTACTTCATTTACCATATGAACTGATCAACTATGCCTTCAAAACATTAAAAATTTTTTATGCAGAATATTTAGGTGTTCTTTATAAGACTGTTTTTACTTTCCTATCCTTTGAACTTTTTGTTCATCATTTTCTTGGAAATATGTGCATTTCAGCTGTTTTCCTTATGTCTATGAAGTACATGGCCTATTGAATGAATTGCATAAATGCTGATTGAAAGAATGAATAATTCAAGTACTTCTGTTTTAAATATTTTGCAATGAACTTCAACTGTGTTTAAAAAAAAACAGTTTTTTTTTTTGACTCTGTGATCTTACTTCTGAGAAGGTGTGAACTTTGAGCTGTTGATTTTAACATATTTATATTTGCGAAAATTTGGAAACAACTAAGTAGCAAAGAGTCGGACACGACTTAGCAACTGAACTGAACTGAACTAAAGGTATCAGTTATGGCTATGCAATGGAAGAGTATAAAATTCCATGTATATTGTGACCATAAATAAGACATAACATGCACACGATGTAGACATGGACCAAAAGTCAGTAAGAAAATGCTGACTTATTAGAAAAGTAAGGTTTGGTTCCCTTTTCCTTTTTATAACTTGCAATTATTGTTACCACATTGTCACCTGGGCAATGGGTATAAATTTTTAATGAAATAAACTCTATGGATATACGTATCTTGTTCCTCTTTGTTACAGCCAGAGGGAAAACACACTTGGTGTCAGACAGGCCTAGGTTAAATCATTAAGCCATCATTTAATAGCTGAAGTCAGGTCTTCACTCTTTCACAACTATAGGTAAGGAATTCTGATGCACTGCTTAACTCTGGGCTCAGTCCCACAGTTCCTTTGGTACATAGGATGCCAGCAAAAAGGATTCAGGTTTCCTTATGTGCCCAAGGGCTTCCTTTTCTACCTCTACTTTGCTGCGAGAACAAGCTAGACTGGCCAGGTGATGGGACACAGTAGGGATTAGAGGAGAACCAAGTTGCGCTAGCCACCAGTCTCCTGGTCTGAAGCTGACCACAGACATTTGGCTACGCCACCAAGTATCCGACAATCATCTAGCCAACTTTTAGACTTATCAACTAAATTGTCTACAATTAGATGATTTAATTGATGATTAAATCAATGATTTAAGCCCTTATTAGAATAGCTTGTTATGCAGCATTATCTATGGCAGTAGGTAATTGACACATCCCCTCCTTCTTTATCTAATGCTAGGCCCTAACAGGTGTGTTTGGAGACACCACAGTGAAGGCTTTTCTGTCACTGTCCCTTCTCCCTGGAGTTGAATGAAAAATTCATGCTATCATAAATAGCTATCCATATATGTGTGTTAGTCGCTCAGTCATGACTGACTCTTTGCAACCCCATAGGGTATAGCCCACCAGGTTTCTCCACCCATGGGACTTCCTAGGCAAGAATACTGGAGTGGGTTGCCATTTCCTTCTCCAAGACCATTCTCCAGGGGATCTTCCTGACCCTGGGATCGAATCCAGGTCTCCTGTATTGCAGGCAGACTCTTTACCTTCTGAGCCACCAGGGAAGCCCTAGCTATCCATATAGCTATCCAACATCTCACCTCATTCATAGCTATCATAGCATCTGTCACTTTTTTTTAACATTTATTTCTTCACTTGTTTCTCTGTTCCTCTCTGCAAGAATGATTTGAAAGTAGAAAATAAATTGTTCATATCCATATCTCCAGCATCTGGCTGTACAACATCTACAGAGTAGACCCTCCCTAAATGCTTTGTTTGAATTAAATGATTGGATTTGGGGAGCTGACATGAACCCAAACAGCCAGCAGCAGGTGGCAGGAAGCACAACCACATAAGCTGGTTCTTGTGCTGGGAGGCCTTTTGCTTTCCAGAAAGCCCAAACAAGGCGGGTGGGGAACCAAACAAAGACGAGAAGCACATTCATTCTGCTCTCCCACACCCTTCTCTCTTTCCCCACACTGCACACAGGCTCCGAGCCACTCATGCCCCTGAAGAGTGCTGCCCCATCCGGGCTCCCTCTGCCACTGCTGGGCACCTCACTCAACCCGGGGGATGCGCCAATGCCCACCGGGGCTTTCTTCATCCTACCTTTAGATCAGATACGTCTCTGTAGCACTGCTCGGAGCGGGTGTGGTCCGACAGCTGAACGTTCCAGAAGCAGGGCAGCTGATACACGAGGAAGGGGTTTTGTTTGATGACAGCGTTGAAAATGTCCTGGGAGATAAAAGCCAGAGACAACAGTCAACCAGTCAAATGGGCTCAGCTTGTGATGCTGGCTCTCGAGCCATGACATCTCTCCTGTGCAATCTCTCATGAGCCTCCTGCTTGGAGCACAGGCTGGCTTGCGCTGCTGGGCATTTCCCGTGCATTTTATCTCTAGAAACCAAGCAATCCTGTTTGGCTAGATCCCCCTGCGCTGGGGCGAATGCCCCACACTGACTTGATGCTCACAGGTCCTGCTGGTCTGAGTGATCCCCTTCCAGCAAAGGGACATGGGGGCAGACAAAGAGCATCTTTTCCACTTGAGCCGGTATATAATAAATGAAGTCGCTTTTCTGGCCCTCTTCTCACCTCACAGAGGAAGCCCGTGCCATCCATCCTGAGCCTCCTGGAGAGGAAACTGTGTGATGACAAGTCGCTCCGCTGATTCAGGGGCTGAGACAAATGACACATCCTGCTTCAGCCGCATTTCCTGGGGCTCTGGGCAGACTTGAAGATGGATGTGCCTGGGACTCCTGTGGGCCAGGGTGCCTGTATCTGCGCTCTCCATCTCTAAAGTCAACTCTGACTTTTCTATGGGGCTTTCCCCTCTTTCCAGCTTTTCTCCAAGCTCCTACACCAGCAGGCCATGCTTATTAACTAGCTGCTGACAGGTGGTGCCGGAAGGTGAATTATGGGTCTTCACAGAAGGAGAAGGCTGAATAAACTATCCTCATTGGACATGGACATGCAATTGCTAGCTTTTGGGGACACGCTCAAGTCATTGTGACCCGACTTGAAATATGATGATGGAGGACAATTTTCCCCTCAGGTTTAAAACACCTACCTGGGTAATTTTTAACTCATTCATTATACCATATCTCCTGTTTGAAAAAGGAAATTAGTTTCTGGCTGCTTGGGAAATACTGAATAATAAGAATGCTAAAAAACAAATAGTAAAGTAACCCTACAGAGTTTCTTGTTTCCTTCATACTAGAAAACTCCAATAATTCAGTGAATCAGGCAGCTGAATGATGAACAAAAACAAGGAGAGTGGGCTTGCTTTTTGGTTGAACAGGAAAGGATAACATGCAGCGAACTCAGAGATATCTTTACATTTCGAGATGGCCACATATAACATAGGAATCTCAGAATCAAGTTGTGTGATCCTAGTAGATTCAAAGTCAAAGGCTCAGCAAAAATGAGAAGTGGGGATGTTATGAATTTATGTTAGTTGCTTGCTGTAGTTCATGGGCTTTTTCAGATTGCCTGGATTAAAAGCTGATTTCACCAGCCAAGGAGGTTTGTCCTTTCTATTTAAATTCATTCCCCTTGAGGATGGGGGTCACAGTATAGGAGCTAAGCAAAAGGCTTGGCTTTAAAAGTTAGATTCTATTTCCCACGAAGGCAAATGAAATCTTGTCCGGGAAATATGCCTTGGCATTTTAGAATCTCAGAGGGCAGGCACTGTGCATTCTACACTGAGGTGAAGACCGTGACCTCCTCTTAACACACCAAATTATCATTTACTTGTGAGTCGACATCAATAAACTATGAACTTTCTGAGGCCAAGGATTCTGTCCTTCGTTTATCCCTGTAATCCTATTTCTGAAGATAGTTCCTGGCATGCATAGTGTGCAGGAAAAAGTGTGATAAACACGGATGAACAAGGGGAATGAACTAAGGAGAGGGCTGTGGTCTTAGGCTGGCAAGAATGAGGCAGATCTATCCAAGTGTGAAGTCACGCAAGAGCTGGAAAAACAACGTAGACCCAGCCGCATGCAGGTTTGAGAAGCAGCATACCAGGGGGCTTGGGAATAACCGTACCTTCTAGACTGGCGACTCACCTGGTCAGCTAAGGACGTAGAAAGCATGCCCATCAGCTCCCTCTCTGCGGTCAGCCTCCACATCTGCTCCCACTTCATCTTCCGCAGCTTATCTAGAAGCAGCAGGATCACCCCTGGACAACAGCATAGGATGAAACAGAGGGAAAAAACCACAGATAAGAGAGAGAGCCTAACCATGTGTTTTAGAGACGAGCATGCCTGGGTTCACCCCAGCTCTGCCAGGTGCTTGGTAGGAGACGATAAATAGTCTCTCTGAAATATCCTCGCTGTATTTAGAACATTAACGGAGATCTCAGAAGCCACTGCAGGGACCAAGTGAGATGGACCAAGGAGCCTAGCACTCCCTGGAGATGGATGGTGATGATGGTCGCACAACATGGTAAACATACCTAATGCCATTGAACTGTACACTTAAAGACGGTTAAAACAGCATTTTTATATTTTGTATATTTTACCACCAGAAAAAAGAAAAAAGAGCCTAGCACTGCATATCTGACACATGGTACATACCCTGTAAACAGATTCTCTCCCATTTTCCCCAGATAAATGACAAGTTACCGAGGGTTAGCTGATAGATGGTATTTGTACAAACTGTGTCATTCATCTCTACAGAAACAAAGCAGATCCTCTCTGACTTTATTATGGGTGTGTCTTTGCCAATTTGCTTTATACCGCCTGACAAGCCATATGAGCTCATTGCAGTATTGCTGCTTTTAATAGCTTTCTTTGGCCCAATGCATTAGACACAGGTAGAAACTATGGTGAAGGCTGTGCTGATGCTGGGTGTTCAAGATGGGGCCCTAAGAGCCTTCAAGTTCATAAGAAACTAATTGTCAGATGTTGCTTCCTCTTCCTCTCTACCCTCTTTTTTTGGGGGTGGTTTATGGGAGAGACTTGAGTGAATGGGGGATTGTATAGGAAGGGAAGGGATTTCCTGGTGGCTCAGTGGTAAAGAATCTACCTGCCAATGCAGGAGACATGGATTTGATCCCTGGGTCAGAAAGATCCCCTGGAGAGGGAAATGACAACCTACTCCAGTATTCTTGTCCAGGGGAAATCCCATGGAAATTCCCATGGAAGGGAAATTGTCATTTTATACACCTTTGTATTTTTAAAAATGTTAAAAACAACTAAATGTATTATTCAGGTAAAAATAAATTAGTAAAAGTCTAAAAAGAAAAGTACATTTTTGGCTTAGCTGAATAGCTTAGGAGCGAGTGTCTACTAACTGGTTGGTGAGCGTATGCAGAGAAGGTACACAGCACAGAACACAAACCGCAAAAAGGACTCCCCTGCAGGCTACTGCAGTTAATTTGGTGGATGGAATTGTGGCACCCATGGGCTCCCAAATCAATCCTCCTCAGGAAGCCCTAGCTCAGCAGAATAGTCAGTGGAGAAAACTCCGGGCAGCTGAAAAATGATCTTACTTGATACCTAGTACATACATTTCTAAGATTGTTGGAAAGAAACTGATTCCCCAAATCACACATAAATGTCAACACTGAGAGACTTTTTTAAAAAACTTATTCCAGTGGAACATATTTGGAGAAAAAAGTATATTTACTATTTTGTGAAAGGTGGTTGGTCCATTGGGTAGAGTTGAAATAAAAAAAATACATATATATGGTTATGGCAAGAATGGGCTAATACACAGAGATCTGAACTTGTAAGTCAAAAGGGCAAATCATACCTATTGCACATCTCCCTGGTGCTTTGTTAGGTTTTTTTTGCACATGGATAAGCTAGATATTGTCACCCTTATTTTTCAGGAGGGGAGGCTGAGGGGGTTGACGCTGGGTCAGACACTTGAACAGTTCACTGTGCAAGAGCAGTTCTATGAGATCCAAAGTCAGATCTGCCTGACTCCAAAGCCAGAGCTTCTTCAGCGACACCACACAGACCAGAGTCCTAGCAATGCCTCTGTGGAGTTCTGTGACTCAGACCAAGACTTGTTCTTTTTCTGACTTTTGGTTTCTACCTGGGTTGTTGTAGTTTAGTTGCTAAGTTGTGTCCGACTCTTTTTCGACCCCATGGACTGTAGCCTATCAGGCTCCTCTGTCCATGGGATTTTCCAGGCTGGAGTGGGTTGTCATTTCCTTCTCCAGGGGACCTTCCTGACCCAGGGATTGAAGTCCCATGTCTTCTGCATTGCAGGCTGATTCTTTACCATTGAGCCACCAGGGTTACTTGCCCTTGCAAACTCAGAAAACTGCCACATGCCCTAGGGGTAGGCTGGTAAATGTTTAACCATAAGCATTGCAAAAAATGCCAAGAAGGCTAAGTGGTTGTCTGAGGAGGTCTTACAAATAGCTGAGAAAAGGAGAGAAGGGAAAGACAAAGGAGAAAGGGAAAGATATACCCAACAGAATGCTGCAGAGTTCCAGAAAATAGCAAGGAGAGAGAAGAAAGCCTTTATAAGTAAACAATGTAAAGAAATAGAGGAAAACAATAGAATGGGAAAGACTAGAGATCTCTTCAGGAAAATTGGAGATACCAAGAGAAAATTTCATGCAAAGATTGGCACAATAAGGGACAGAAATTGTATGGGCCTAACAGAAGAGATTAAGAAAAAGTGGGAAGAATACACAGGAAAAGTATACAAAAAAGTCTTAACGACCTGGATAACCATGATATGGTCACTCACCTAGAGCCAGACATCCTGGGATGTGAAGTCAAATGGGCCTTAGGAAGCATTACTATGAAAAAAGCTAGTGGAGGTGATGGAATTCCAGCGGAGCTATTTCAAATCTCAAAAGATGATGCTGTTAAAGTGTTGCACTCAATATGCCAGCAAATTTGGAAAACTCAGCAGTGGCCACAGGACTGTGAAAGGTCAGTTTTTACTCCAATTCCAAAGAAGGGCAATGCCAAAGAATGTTCAAACTACCATATAACTGTGTTCATTTCACATGCTAGCAAGGTAATGCTCAAAATCCTTCAAGCTAGGCTTCAGCGGTAAGTGAACTGAGAACTTCCAGATGTACAAGCTGGGTTTAGAAAAGGCAGAAGAACCAGAGATCAACATCCAGAGATCCACATCCATTGGATCATAGATAAAACAAGAGAATTTCAGAAAAACATCTATTTCTGCTTCATTGACTATGCTAAAGCCTTTGACTGTGTGGATCACAACAAACTGTGGAAAATTCTGAAAGAGATGGGAATACCAGACCATCTGACCTGCCTCCTGAGAAATCTGTATGCAGGTCAAGAAGCAACAGTTAGAACCGGACATGGAAGAACTGACTGGTTCTAAATTGGGAAAGGAGTACATCAAGACTGTATACTGTCACCCTGCTTATTTAACTTATATGCAGATTACTTCATGTGAAATGTTGGGCTGGATGAATCACAAGTGGGAATCAAGATTGCCAGGAGAAATATCAACAACCTCAGATATGTGAATGATACCACCCTAATGGCAGAAGGTGAAGAAGAACTAAAGTGCTTCTTGATGAGGGTTAAAGAGGAGAGTGAAAAAGCTGGCTTAAAACTCAGCATTCAAAAAATTAAGATCATGGCATCCAGTCCCATCACTTCATGGCAAGAATAGATGGGGAAAAAGTGGAAACAGTGACAGATTTTATTTTCTTGGGCTCCAAAATCACTACGGATGGTAACTGCAGTCATGAAATTAAAAGATACTTGTTCTTCGGAAGAAAAACTATGACAAACCTAGACAGAGTATTAAAAAGCAGAGATAGCACTTTGGTGACAAAAGCCCTATAGTCAAAACTATGGTTTTCCCAGTAGTCATGTACAGATGTGCAAGTTGGACCATAAAGAAGGCCGAGCACCAAAGACTTGATGCTTTCAAACTGAGTTGCTGGAGAAGACTCTTGAGAGTCTCCTGGACAGCAAGGAGATCAAACCAGTCCATCCTAAAGGAAATTCACTCTAAATATTCATTGGAAGGACTGACGCTAAAGCTCCAATACTTTAAAAGTGTCTGGTATAAGCCATGATTTATGACTTTCTACCTTGAAATAAAGATTCCATGACATTAAAAAAATTACTGAGTACAGTAGAAACTGTTCTCAATACTGCTGACTTCAGAACTATTAATAATAAATGTCTATACCCACTCATTTATTTATGAACCTAAATTCATTGGTCTTTCTAAAAACCTCCTTGTGCATGTAGAAAGCACTGGACACTTAAAAACTGTGAGATATTGCCAGGTCCATATTGCTTCTTAGTCTTTTGTCAATAGGTAGCTTAAGACTCTTGAGAGTCCCTTGGACTGTAAGGAGATCAAACCAGTCAATCCTGAAGGAAATCAACCCTGAGTATTCATTGGAAGGATTGATGCTAAAGCGCCAATACTTTGGCCACCTAATGCGAAGAACTGACTCATTGGAAAGGACCCTGATGCTAGGAAAGATTGAAGGCAGGAGGAGAACAGGATGACAGAGGATGAGATGGTTGGATGGCACCACCAACTCAATGGACATGAGTTTGAGCAAATTCCGGGAGATGGTGAAGGACAGGGAAGCCTGGCGTTCTGCAGTCCATGGGGTCACAAAGAGTCAGACTCGACTGAGCGACTGAACAGCAACAGCTTAGGGGGTCATCAGCTAAGCACTTGTGTGACTAGGATGTCCCTTGGGGATATTGCAAGTGCTGCCAAGGCATACAACCCACAGGAAATAAATAAAAGAAGATCGAAGGAAAGAAAATACACTCCAGGGCTTCCTGATGGCTCAGTGGTAAAGAATCCACCTGCCAATGCAGGAGACACGAGTCTGATTCCTATCAGGAAAGATCCCACACGCCGCAGGGCAACTAAGCCTGTGCACCACTGGTACTGAGCCTGTGCTCTGGAGCCCGGAAGCCACAACTACAGAAGCCCGCACTCTAGAGCCTCAACAGAAGCCTTCTCAACAATGAGCTCACATATCGCAGCTAGAGAGTACGTCCCACTTGCCACAACTAGAGAGAAGTCTGCTCAGCAGTGATGACCCAGCACAGTAAAAAAAAAAAAAAAAAAAAAAAAAAAATTAATCATTTAAGAAAAAGAAAATACACTCTAAGTATTTACAATCATGTACATAATTGTGTCTTCAAGCAGCTAAGGAGTCTGTTAGGTTGTTAAATACAATCACATGGGTAT